TGAGAAAGAAATTGCAGGACCAGGGGATGCAGAGGGAGGAGAGTGACAAACAAACTCACTGCTGCATCTACCTAAATACACACACCCCCGCCGGCAGCTGACATCATCCTCATCATTGAATCCTGCTGTGAGTTTCGTGTTTGAGATGAAGCTAATGTTTAGTCTTTGTGTGCAGTGGTTGATAAAGCAACATCAGCGTTTAGACTCTTCTAATCCAGCAGATTAATTTGTTGACAGTGTGTAATTGTCCGTGTTCCTTTGTTTGCTTTGGACTGAATTCAGAAACCCACTTTTCTTGTTGGCATTTTCAGTAATGACGTGGTTTTGATAAAAATGTTCCAGAGGTTTTTCCATTTGATTACATTAATCTGTGGACTGATACAAAGAGGACACTTACAGTGCAGTCAGGATGTATTAGGACAGATGTGTTTTTCATTGTTTTTGCTCATTAGCCTTGGAAGCGAAATGAAACAATGGGGTCATAGCACTGACTGGAAGGAATAATCACTACACTTACTGGGTGTCAGTATTTAGGAACAACTAATCTCTGCATAAAAACTAGTTTGTGTGATTCCCACTTTGCGTCATTATTAATTTAGTTAAGTTTGAACCTACAATAGTTGGTGTGACACATCCGCACACTGTCCAGCAGCCGTCTTCAGTTCTTTCTTTTTTTAAGGACTTTTGCCTTTGTTGGTATTCTGTAAGTGGACAGTTTAATTTAAAGTCAGGTGACTGATGTGACCAACAACACTTCCCTGTTATGTCCACAGCCTGTATATAAAGAAATGGATATATACAGTCTGTGGTTGGGCCATGAAAACTCCTAAGTATGTTTACAATTATTATCCGTCCGCACTCTCCTAAAATTGTAGGATTATGTTTAGAAATGGGCCACACTGCTCAATATGAGCGAGGACACCCTCAAACACCCTTAAAAGTGAAAGTTATTGTTTCTTTTCAAATCCACTGTGCTGGAGTATAAAACCGAAACAATGAAACAATAAACAATGAAATACACAATACTTTATGACTGCACTGTGTGGATGAAACATAATGAATGTCAATGCTGTTGCTGTTTCTTTGGTGAAATTGTTTTTAAAACTGTCTTTTGGCAGGCTGAGCCGGGATTAAGTTACACAAAACTGCTCCTACATTTCATCGTGGCATCTTTATTACTGAAAGGCTTTGGTCCTCTTTGCTCCAGAAAGTTGCACAAACACACATTTTGTTGTTTGATTTTGTTACCATGGAAAAAAAATGAAAAATCCAAGTTGTCATGGAAACAAATCAGTAGTGTTTGTGGGAAAGTTGCATCAAAATATACATAAAGAAATAATCACAATCTAGAGGGGGTTATTTAGTGTGATGACAGCAGTAAAAGGTTCACCTGTGACGAATGTTTGTAAGAGATTTACAGGCGGTTTTGGTGTTAATAACGTTATAGATTACAGAATATGAGACCAGTGTCCGACCACAAGACCTAACAACCTGTAAACCTCTGGTTCATTGTGCTTTATGAGAATGGTCACTTTTTTTTTTTTCACTACTGACTGAAAATCATTACAGTCAGCACTTAACATCTCTCTCCTCATTGATACAACTGCTTTGAAATAATAGACTTTTCCTTTTTAAAAGTGGCACTCAGGCAGACAGAAGCATCCATTACAGTCCACTTTGAGACAGCAAAAACCAACATTTTCATCGCTCTAGTGAAAATGTGTGGGACTGTTGAGAGCAGTTGGAAGGACTCTTACACTAATGGATTCAAGTTTTAAGAGTCCACAAGGTTTTAAAATAATACCTTTATATATGGAAATGGACTAGATCAGCTGTATTTGTCCCCCACTGAACTGTCACAAAAAGGTAACTTCAGTTGAACGTCACTAAAATATGAATACTGTAAGTATTGTTGTGCTAGCAACATGGTTCTCTGGCAATGTTGATATCTCAACAATTATTTTATGGATAATGGGAAAGTTGGTACAGATGTTCATGGTCCCCAGAGGATGACATCTACTGACTTTGGTGAACCTCTGACATTTCCTCTAGTGCCACAATGAGGTTCACGTGAAATATACACACGTCCTCCTCAGGATATTTTGTAGCTTAATGACTATGGAGATCCTTTTCATCCATTCCTGTCATCTGGTCAAAATTAGAATCAATGCTTTGAATTATGACCAAATACCTGCAAAACTAACGACATTTCCATCAGCCAATCAGCTGAACATTGTGTTAAGAGCTAATTAGGCCATCCCACTAAACTAACCATGGTGATAGTTTAACATCTAACCTACAAGAAGAGCGCCAGTCTTTGATATAGATATAGTTTGATATAGTGTATATAGCATACATTACATTGTCCATTTGACCATCTCAATACCTGCAAAATAATTTGTTTCACTATCAGAATTTGTGTGATAACATTTGGAAAGTCTACGACCTAAACAATTAAATAATTTTATTCCTATTTCAAGTTAACTGCAAATCTCTAGTGTGTTTGCTCTGCGCCCCACAATGCGGAAGCTTATGTGGCAGCTCGGGATAATTTTATACTGAGAAATATTTTTTTGGCTTTATGCATCATGGGGGAGCCATAAGAATGAACAGAGCCTGGCCTCCAACTCTGTATCCAGTTTTCCCTTAATACATCCATGTTTAACATCAGCATGTTAGCCTACTGATGTTAGCATTAAGCACCAGTGTGCCTATGTACAGTCTCACAGAGCTGCTGCCATGTAGTGAAAACTCATCTATGTATAGCACCAAATCATTACAAAAGTTGTCTCAGGATACCTCATAGAGCAGGTATAGAGGATATTGTTTATAAAATTATTTATAGAGACAATAAAACAATTGTCGAAATGTGAATAAACAATTCCCACCATGAGCAGGCACTTGGTGTCAGTGGCAAGAAAAAAACTTTGTGCAGAACCCGGCTCTATGTGGACGACAGCCTGCCTCAACCTGTTGGGTTAATTTAGTATATTAGTACTTATATTAATATGAGTCCTAAACTAATATTCTTTTCAAGGATAAGACAGTCACATGGTTTCAGTAGAATTTAACATGTTGTATGAATTTTATAGAATCTGAGTTATTTTGTTTTGTTTCATGATGTTTTTACAAATGAAATATTCAAAGGTTCAAATGCTGAATATTAGACTAAATGACTCTTAAAATGTGTTTCGCAGTGTGATGGGAACTAATGAATAATGATGAACTGGTGACACTGATAAAAAGTAAATTTGGAGCATTTCAAGGGGTGAGCCACATATTCTACAACCTCTAATTATAGTTTAAAGGGGAATTATTATAATGTAGTTTTGAAGGGCATCAATACCAATGACCCAGTGCTCACTCTGCCACTTGCTGAAGTTTTTGGCTTTCAGAGCTCATTGTCTGGACCATCCTCCTGCAATTTCCTCCCCCATACTCATGCATCTATTCTAATTGTCAACCACTTAAAAACAGAACAGTGCTGGAACAGTGATTGACCCAAATTATAAGACAATTTTCCTTTTTAACTTAAAAAAAGAAAAAGAAATCCAATTTGGCTCTGCTCTCTCTGTCTCAGCACACTAAGGCTCAGCTACATTTTCAGCCACTTTGCAGTAAACAGTACATGTAGATGATGACATCAAAGCTTACTGGGACATATGAGTCACCCAATGAGAAGACACAACAAAGTGAGATTATGTTGACCAGTAGCACTGCATATCTTTCTGCTCCAGCTGCCCAGTTTCACTGTGACACCTGGTTGGGTTCAAACTCTTCAAAGACTGCAGGACTAACATGTAACAGCTCAAAGGGCGATATTGTTTTGTTAACTGCTGTTTCCAAGGTCAAGAATGAACTTTCAATCTCAATTTTCAAGCCAACATGGACAAGAAAATCTTAATGTGCTCAGAATAACTACAACTACATGACAACTGAGCAAGTTCATCTGCTGATGAAAGTCATGATACAGTCAAAAGCTCCAGAACAGCTAATGAGTGGGCCTGTTTTTGTCAACGTGTTATTTGTTGTTTTATCTGCCCCTTCCCTGCTGCACATTGGTCATTATGTGTTGTAATGTATTGATAAAAGTGCTGATACCTGTTTGTCTTTATAAAACTTTTGAGCCATGCCATCAGCATTCTATGGAGCGCTCACTGTCATGAGGTTCAATTTGTGGGTTTTTGTGTGGAAAAACTACTGGATGGATTGCAATGAAATTTGGTACAGACATGTCCTCCAGAGGATGAAGTGGGAAAACAATGGTGATCCCTTAAAGGCCCAGTAAGTAACATTCACGAGGATCTGAAATGGAATAAAATATTCATAGGTATGTTTTTATTAGTGGATAATCACCTGAAAATAAGAACTGTGTTTTTGTTAACTTAGAATGAGACGTTTTCTCATGGGAGGGAGATATATAAAATTTTTAGTTATTTTTGTTTATGACCAAATGCCTGCTAAATGAATGCCATTCCCATCAGCTATTCTGTATGTTTAGTGTTAATTATCAAATGTTAGCATGCTATCACACTGAACTTAGATGATGAACATGGTAAACATTTAACGTCTGCATGTTAGCATTGTAAGCATGTTTGCATGCTGGCTTTAGCATTTAGCTCAAAGCAGCTCTATACACACTCACAGAGCTGCTAGCAGGGCTGAAGTCTTGCTTTAACAAAGAAGCCAAACTCCTCACACGGCAAATGTTGTCCAACACGATCACCGAATGGAATAATAAGCAACAACACATGCAGACTCTCTAAACAGGTGAAGGATGATATTTGTCAATATGAACAGTGCTGGACTGGTTAGGTACATCAACTGGACAGACTGTACAGGACACATTTTTCTTTAATTAGATTATTTACTCACTGCACAAATGTGCCCACTGTAACAGAAGGTGAACTGAGAGTGGGAAGGGTTAGCATCTGCGTTGTGTGAGATACTTTCTTTTATCGTTTTGTTTTGAAATTGAGGTCATGATGTCCTTTTAGTGTGATTTTATGTGTGTGCAGAAAAAGTCAGAGTTGAATATTAAGTCATCACTCACTGGACTCGAATCCTCAGACCTTTCAAACCGTTATAAACAGGTCAATCACAAAAGAGAGGAATAAAAAAGGCCCCCTTTTTATTGATGGAAGGTCTGAATATAACAATGTGTTGCTGTTTTGTTGATAACACTGACATGAAAAGCTGAACAAAAAAATAAACCCGAAATATATACACAGCAGAAGTAAAAATAAATACTTTATCCTGTACAAACAGGGCTTCAACGACCAATTTACACACAATGGAGGATCAATAACAGGACACAGACAACACACTAATAAATATGTTTAAATAGAAAATAAATACATTTCAGTATAATTACAGGATGAGTAGTAACTGCTCCTCATGAATTATGATTCAAGGGTTTCTTCTGAGAAATGAAACCTCAAATCTGAACACTTAATTACGGAGCGTTGACACTCGGATAAAAAGGATGTGCAGCGTTTGTGTCACTGATGAATTTAAATGACCAGAAAGCAAAGAGGCAGCAGAATGAGCTCCTGATCTTATGATTTAAATCCCACGTTAACACTTGGATCAGCCATTACTTTGCCCTTCTGTCAAGTTCTGTTGTTTTTATAATGAATGGTGTGTTTTTTTATGGCCCTTCAATGAAATATGTTTCATGTATTGCCCTCCCTCCCACAAGACATGACTGCTAATGATGCTACATCAGATCAACTTGTTGGAGTACAAACATCATTGTCCATTTAATTCACCTCACAGACGATATTTAAGTCCTTGTATGCTGCTTTTTATCATATATTTTACACTAATCGCCCTGTTTTTCAGGGCGTGTGAAGGTCCCAGGGAACTGAACCCAAAATATTGGACCAACTCAAAGCAGATCAACAAATCTAATGTTTGCAATTATGTTTTGACTTTTTGCTAGACTTCTAAATGTGCAACCACAAATAACTTCACGGCAATATATGTCTGAGAAAGTCCCACGTTACCATGTCAACATAGTTAGCAAACAGGCAATACAAAATCACAAAAAATATTAGTTTTATACACAAATTCTAACAGAATACTACCATAATAAACCACTTTGTGATGTTCAACATAGCCTGTGAAAGGAAATGTTACACTTCCTCTGAGTCTTTCTTGCAAAGGAAAATCCTACATTCATCCTTCATTTTACAAAAGTGTGAATAGTATTTTTTCTGTCCTGTCCCACGATGCATTTTGTTTCGTCAGATCAAACAAGTGCAGAATATGTTTTTTTTTGAATGTGAGGTTAAATTACAAAGACGTCACTCCACGAATCACTGAAAATGATTCAGTTTCTAAGATAAAGCCAAATAAGACTGAGGTGAAAATTGCTACAATGAACTTAAGCACAATCTTTCTCAATAAATCCCCAAATTACCTGTAGGGGGGGTAGACAAAATGATGAAGACAACTTTAAATACGCAATCCAGTACAACAGCACAATAAAACTTTGAAGGAATAGATTAAATTTGAGAAAATACACAAATTTGCTTTCTTTCTTCAATGAGAAGAGCAACACAACACTCATATCTCCCCATTAAGTATAAGCATAGAGCCAGGAGGTAATTATTTTCTCATCTAAGTCTCAGTAAGAAAGTGAATGAACCAACTACATCGTGGGTATTTCCCAAAATGTCAAACTATTTATTTAAAATATAACCTCTAGTTGAATCAACATCCCTCTAAAACCCTCTCAACAAAACTGATCATAAGAAAGTTTTATTGTAGCACTGTTGTATTCATTACATTGTGAGGTGTTTCTTTTATTTTGTCTACCCCCTGTAGCTCTCTGGTTACTGTAATCTAACTCTCTGATCCCCCCTAACTGTTGGCATATCCGACCCTCCGGTTTCATCCTGATCAGACCCAGGCATGGACGCTGGCTGCCCAGTCCAGCAGCCGCCCCCGGTACCAGGCACGCGTGATCGGCTGAATGAGAAGCAGGAGCCGAAACCTTCGTAGCAGCCCGCAGAAGACGGCGGCCGCCACGACCACGAGCGGCGACATCATCACAAAGCCCAGGATGATTAGGGCGGAGCAGCTGTTGTCGTCAAGGTAACGGCAGATGGCAGAGGGGGCATCAAGGACCTATGAGGACAAACAGAGGAGATCAGAAGAGTAGACAGAAGGGCTCCAGAGGACGTGATGAACATTTTGGCATCAGCAGCTTCTCTTCTGTCAAAAAGCAAATAGGTAGGATTTGTCATTGGCCAGGTATGATTAGTGTGTGTGTGTGTGTGTGTGTGCATATGCTCAGGGTGCAGAAGTGGGACCGTGTGGGTAATGGGCTGTGACAGAGTTTCTCCCAGCCTCCCTCTACTGTTCAGATAAGGAGCGGCCCAGTAGCTGTCAGTAACCCTCTGAGCTGTCAATCACCTGTGACGGCGAGCGAGAGGAAGGAGGTGGGCACAGGGAGGCCAGAGAGAAAGAGACGGAAACTACAAAAAAATATGTAAAAGAGGCGGGAGGAGAACTAAACACTGAATGGATAAGTATAGAAAGAGCGAGGGTTGTGATCAGAGTGCACGAGATACATTCACAGCTGCAGAAGTACACACTGACATCCTTCATACACCAGGGTTAAACACTCACAACACACAGACACATAAAGCACACACACATTATCTCCTTTTTACTGTCGAAGTCAGACACAAAATGATTTGGTTATGTCCGAAGCCCTTTTTCTAGACAATTTCCTATTGTAAGCTTTTTCAAAAAGAACTTTGCCTCCTACAAATGTGCCCTAGCAACAGCAGTGTTTAACACTCTCACACTCACACACACTCACACACATACAGACAGACACACCTCTGTCAAGTGCACACTGTGCTTTCACTGAGTACATTTCCCTCCTCGTCGTGCTGTCAGTGTGTCTGTGCACAGCTGGTGCCGGCACCAAATCAGACCCTCCTCTCAGTGGGTCCTCTCTCTCCATGTTCAGTCTGTCACCAGAACTCTCTGACTGACATTGTCTGTAATTGTTGGCTCTAAGCTGACATTTGCTCTGGCCTAATCACAATTACAGTCTTGTTCCATGAACAGACTTTGCATGTTCTTAGTTTGTCTGCTCTGTCTCTACACGGCTACGCCTTCGGAAACCAAATCATTCACAACCAGGGTTTCTGGCAAAAGGACCAACTGATTCAAAGGTGGGATGTACTGTTATGACCTGTCGGGTGAGCCAAGGACAGAGCTGTAGCTCTTCACAGCATGATTTGGCATCATGCCTGGACACACCATATTTTACTGATGATCTATCTGCCCCTCATGTGACTCACAAAGAAGGAGCCGCACCCTCTTCCTCACCTCATTTCAAGAAACACTGGCAGGCTCCAACATTTGAGTTTAGTCATTATCTTCTTGGATTAGCTTGTTGTTCCTAATAAAAACCAATAAGTACAAACATGAAGAATGAGCCTGAACACTTGTGGAGAACTTGTCAGCCACTGGCGTTTAACTTATGCTGCCAAAAAGACTTTGCCTTAAGGCTGTGATTGCCATTTTCCCTCTGAGACTCCCGGTGCCGGTGCCAGTCTTAATGAGACATAATCCTCCCACTTTCTGTAAATGACATGGGCTTACTTGTCTAAACATCCAGGTAAATTCAAGGAGACTGGGTGGGTAGGCGTAGTTTAGATTCTTCCTTGTAAATGATTAGTAAACTTACTGTCAGGTTGGCACAGAGCTATCTTTTTTAAAGTTGCCAAAAAGGATTTTTTGGCCACTTGGGGGCAGCAGAAACAAACACACAGTAAACAACAAATCAAAATGTACATTACTATGGTGAAGTTAGAAAACAGTTGCTTATTTACACATCCAGCTGTTAGGGAACAACATTATCATTCATTTCCACTCATGGTTGTGTCCACATGATGAATATAAATGCATTTTAGCTCTGTTGGGCTCTCTATCAGCTGAGAAAAATATCTGTCTCTTTAGCTGCTAATGCTCCACTGTGTTCACCCAGATAAGTCTCTAACATAGTGTCTTTTATATTTGGTGATGAGCACGTAGTGTACAGTGGGGGTTGTTTTTGCTGAAAAAGCTGCATGCTGTGGCTGGAAACAACACTGATGAGAGTAGTGAGAATGAACCATATCAGTTAAGTCGTGGGCTAAAAAAAAATAGCTGAAAGTCACTAAAATGCTGTAGTGCTGAGAGAAACTGCTGAGTCAGGTGATAATTATCTGTGTGGTTGCCACTATGAGCAACACCTTTCACATTACAGAGGCAGCTGATCCATTTTATAATGAAAACATGGACTATAGCTTTAATAATATTGTGGAAACCTGGAGAACTTTTCATCATCATCAACTGGAGGAATGACAGGAAACATGGTTGACATGCAAAAGGTTCCAGGAAAATGTAAAAATATTCAAGTTATGTGTTGTTACTTGTACAACTTGTTACCTAAATTTTCTTTTCATTCTTTTGTGGATTATTTCCTTAATTTTGACAGATTCAATTTGATCTACACAGGAAACATGTGGATGTTGCAATTACATGGTATATGTCTTGTATCTGGGCCAGTGTAAGGCTTTTAAGGACAGGTCCAGCATGCTGTTTAGTTGTTTATATGGTTGCCATGAGAAACATTTTACAGCTGCAGGGAAACCATCTATCACACACTGTATTCTGTATGTTTACCTCCAACGAATCAGGACATTGTAGAGATTTATAATATTTGTTCCACTGTATTATGATTTCATTTTATGTGATAACAGTGTACTTTGCTGCAAAGTAAGTGAGTGTAAATCTTATTAAACAGAAAACAAACAAAACTTTGGGAACATCATTTGTGGCAAATAATGTTATACATTGCAAATCATCACCTCTTACTGCACAACTCAGATCTTTATCCTATTATTTCACATTGCGAAATACTGTACTCTGCGGCCCACTGTGATTCCTAGTTTACAGCATCCTGTGTCTGTGCCAGTGAACTCCACCTAAGTCCAGCATCCTCTGACTAATCATCCAGAGGCAGCTGCAACTTTACAACCTGACTTTTGAAGCTCAAATCACACCCACCTCCTTTAACCTTCAGTCCACAGTGCTGCAGACAACTCACCCTGGAGTGGCAGAGGAAACCGACATACAGCAGCAGCATCGCAGGCAGCAGCACCACAGCGAAGACCACAGCCAGGAGCAGAGCGCTGGCCAAGACGACACACAGGTTCCAGAGAACGAGAGCTGCCCCGCAGGTCACGCAGCCGCACCTGCCCCTGCGGCTGCCCCACGCGCTCCCCCCGCTGTGTGCCACAGGAGGGGGCAGCATCTTTACCCCCTCCCCGATCCAGAACTCGTCCTCTTTCTCCTCCTCCCCTGAACCACCATCGTCCAGGTCCACGTCCATACCACACATCCTGAGACAGAAAGAGAGAGCAGACTCTGTTTAGAGCAGACTGAGGGTGAATTGTTCTGATTCAGACTGTTTTATTATTTAATGAATGCAGTAAGAAATGTAATAAAATGTATGAGGAGGAGGTTGTTGTTGTTGTTGTGGACTGTGAGTGAGCTTGCAAACATCACTGTGCATATTTAAATTGTGTATATTGTGAAGATCTGTATTAATTAAATGGAAAATAAAGTAAATAATCCCATTCCTTAGCTTGTCATCACTTTCATGTTGAATCACACACAAAATAACACCTAAAGTGTATATTTCCTCTACAGGCTGGATGCTGTTTGATTCAGCTGCATCTAATTGTTGCATAAATAAAGTATTTCTATCTTTCTATCT